CTGGCTCTTAAAATGAAACAAAGCAGCTGAAGAGGAGAATGTGAGTAATAAAAAATTCATGATAATGATTAAAAGAAGTCTAATCTTAAAGGTCAATGTGGCTTCTGTTTCCCAAATTCTTCCTTATTCATATCAGAGTTTGAATTTATGACTTTTACTTGAATTTGTTTAACTTGTGCTTTAGGGCATAGATTAAGAATATAATAAATATATTTTTTAATTAATTTATATTAAAAATGATAAGAGTTAATATAAATTTTAACATTATTGACATATGAATGATTTTAATTAATTAATTAATTAAATTAAAGTTCATATTTATACTTTTAACAAAAATTAATTATGAAAAATTGTATATATTGTACTTTTATCTTGTACCCTTGGAAAAATCCTTTTTAATTTTAAATCTGGATTCTAATGCTCTGAACATCTCAAAAACAAATCATATCTTTCTCATATTTTAATCTTAAGTCAGATGAGAGGGATTTGAGAAAAGTAAAGGGTTATACCTTTATGTATAACTTATTGATGTATCTAAAAAATCTCTTAGAAAAATGATGGTGGGGCATTGCTATTTATGACCTATTGTCTTCCATGAAATTACATGCCTAGCGCTGTTCAAAAAAAAAAAAATTTACATGCACTAGCGACTTTTAATAATCAAGTTTGGTCAAATTGGTACATATTGAAATCACTTGGCTAAAGTCTACTTTTAGTCCAATAATTTTTGGGTTAAGATCCACGAATTTTTAAAATCTTGAATTTAAATTATTAGAAGTAATTGGTATTAATAATTATATATTAGTCATAGTTACACTTCAATCTTGATATGGGATTTTGGGGCATTACACCAACTAACTTAAAAATTGAAAAATAATTTGTATATCTTTTGGTTCAATACACTTATCAATATCTACCAGTTCAGCTACTAAAATCTGCATTAAAAGTTTTTCCATTTAGAATTCAAATTTTAAAATAATAATTTTTCAATAAGTGTGTTATAGAATACGTTAAATAAGAAAGCATACCAATCATTATCCTAAAAATTTTGATATAAGTTTAAAGTTAAGGATTTAAACTCCTACAATGCCAATATTAAGTAGGTAACTTTTTGATTAAAAAAAATATTAATGCAATTTTCTTATTAATATAAAAAAATTATAAAAAAAACTATATATAAAAAAATTAATGTATCATCACTAATCAAGAGTTTTTTTTTTTTTTTTTTTTATAGTTTAGATGATTAAGATATCCTTAAATTAGTTTTTTTGTATCTTGAAAGTAATATTTTTTTGGATAATTTTAATAACGCATTTCACGCATAAACATGATGCTTTTAAAGAAATTAATTTTTTTTAAGTGTTGGCTCAAAGACTAATGTTTAGTGATAAGGTTATTTGTGCTTTAAATAAGTCTAGGATTTGATTTTGTGTCTCATACAAAAAAAGAAAAAAAAATTAACGCATCCTCTATTACCACACAATGCTAAAAAAATCAGCATGAGTCTTTCCTTGTGGCGTGAGAGAATTAATCAAAAAAAAAAAAATCATTATTTTAGATTCTATACGTGAGAAGATACAGTTGTGGTGTGTTTAATAATGGTTAAACTTGAAATGATTATTTTAATACTTTATTTATGAAAATAATATAGTTACAAATCATATGAAATATTGTAAATTTATAACATGATGTATTGTTATTTACATTATAAATAATACCCAATCTAAAGTTGTTACACCAATAAGATTTTACAGTTGATTTGGACTTAGTTTCCCTATTGTCTACAGTTATTATGGTTGACTAACGCCACGTGTCCAATTGTAGCTTTATGATTGGTTTGAAATGTGCCACATCACTAAGTTGTAGCAAATCTGGAACCTGATCCAATGCAATCCGTAGCCCAGACTAGAGGTGGCATGGAGGTAGGGTCCCATGTGGCAAGATAAGATGCGTATCTCTTCCTTTAATTAAATTTTATTTGAGTTAGGTGACTAAGAAATATTTTAGAAAGGGATCAAATTAGGGTTAATTAGAGTTAGTGAAAAAGTAAATACAGATGGTAGACTTAGAGTAAAAATTGGAAATTGTTGCTGCC